TGGTACAAACAAGTTCCTGGTGGAGTTCCTCAGTATGTTCTGCGTTTTCGGCACCATGACAGTTCACTTGAGTTTGGAACAGGATTCTCTTCAGATCGATTCAACTCTAAATCTTCATCAGACATTGATTATCAGTTCATTATTAAGCAGGCAGAGAGAGGAGACTCTGCTCTGTATTTCTGTCAGACATGGGATGACTCTGCAGATGAAGCTGTATCACAGTCATAAACAGTGTGACAAAAACCCAAACATCCAAACTGATCAAATCTCTGAATATTAAACAGTTCAAAACACACATTTGTTACTATAAGCAGAACTGCCACTGTGTAAATGTGTCCACAGAGACCAAAGTGAGTTTGTGTGTTTTCTAATAAAAGCAGAATGATGGAGAGGCTGAGATGTTTTCAGTGAAAGTTGCTCACAGCAGGATGTTTCACTTCCACTCTGTCATCAGAAACAATGAGGAGGTTTTTGTACGACGATGTATACAAACTGAATCACTGTGGTATTCGGACCGGGAACCAAGCTGATTGTCACAGGTAAGGATTTGATTTAATTACTTTAAAATAAGACTTTTTTCATATTTATATTTCTTGTTTTTTTCTTTTTGTGTACTTTTGTGTTGATTAAAGTTTTAAAAAAGCCATTTTCATGTTTTTATCACATTTGTGTTTTCCTCTCACAAAAATATCAAGTTATGCCAGAGGTTAAGTGGATTCAAAAGTTAATTATCAAAATCAAAATCTGTTAAATATTTTGCTTTTGTACTTGATCTCATCTTCCTTCTGTGTCTAAGACAGTTGTACTAACCTTTTAACCAAATGTAGTTACTGACAAACTAACAAAGGATTCACATACAATCTGTTCCTATGTTTGTTGTTTGCAATGAAATTTCAGCAGGATCCATGTTTTATTTCATCTTTCTTGTAAATAAATGGAAGTAAAAAGTTAATCAGATTAATTTTTTAAAATGCGCTTTTAAATTTCATTACTTTCTAAATGAAAATATGAGATAATATTCAGAAAGAGAAAGCTGCCTAAAAATTAATAATGAGCATAACAATAATGAATAAATTGTGAAATAAATATCTGAAATGAATAAACTTGAGAACAGTTATAAATATGCAGACTTTCATATGCTGTATTTTGCTCTTGTTTATTATTCATTGTCATGTTAATCTACATCATAAACCTTTTTAGAATTACTGACTTTTTCATCTGCATGAATATTTTTTTTTGTTCATAAATAAAAGAACAAAAACAAATCAAATTTGTCAGTTGATTACTATGGCTATGCCTAAAGTAAGTTGTACTATTTGTTTTGACCAAGTAGTGCTTTGTTGTTGATTTAATCATGTATTTATATAATTATCTTCATTTCCTTCCAGGTTCCAGTCTCCCTCCTCCTGTCCTGACCGTCTTCCCTCCATCCAAGGCTGAGCTCCAGTCCAACAAAGCCACTCTGCTCTGTCTGTCCAGTTTGTCCAGTGAATCTAAAGGTTTTGCTGATGTCAGCTGGTTGGTTGATGGGAGTCCAGTGAGCAGTGGGATCTCTACCAGCACTGCTGTTCAGAGACCAGACCAGACTTTCCACATCAGCAGTTCTCTGTCCATCCAGACGTCAGACTGGAACATGAACAAGGTTTACGCCTGTAAAGTGTCTCTGGGCTCCCAGGCTGCAGAGAAAACCATCAACAAGTCAGGATGTCCTGCTGAAGAATAGCAGAAGATCATAATCATCATTTTTATCTGCTTCTTTCTGTTTGCTTCTTAAATGATTTAGGAAATATGCTTTCTTATTTAGTGTTTATTTGACAACTATTGTTCTCTTGGCTTTATTTTTCATTAATAAATCATTGTTACATTGGAAATAAGTGTTCATGCGTGTTTCGTTATTTATTATTGAAAGTAGTTGTGCCCAAGTAAAAGAGTTTGCTTACAATGCGATGTTTGTGATGTTTGGTGTCAGAGAAACTAAAAGAAATGTCAATACATCATGTTTATTTATTTATTACCTTAAATGTTTTCACAGTTTATTGTTTACCACCACTGGCATAACTCCTAAAAAACATATATGCTCTGTAAAGTTTCAAGTACTTAGTTTGGTGGGCCTAAAGACATAAAAGACGGAGTCTGAGTAAGTAATAATGTCTGATGGAGATGAACAAGCAAAACTGAGCCTTTTTTTTTTTTTTTACAGTCAGTGAAGCATCACTTTGCTTCTCGCTGTCTCTTCTTTTACAGGATACACCTGCAGCCCTGCTGTGCTTTTTTTAAATTATAAGCAAATAATGAAATCTAGTTTCAGAGGGAACAATCCCTGATACACTGAGGTTTCAATTCTTCTTGTTTAACAAATACACATCTAATACCAATTTAACAGTGTGTATATTTTTTTTTATGTTGGAATTGTCGAAAAAAAATTATCTTCAATTGGTAAAAATTAAGACTTAATCCTTTATCATGGCACTGAACAAATAGCTGATAATCCAGCTCTTCAAAATGAGTCTAGCTTATGAGGAAAAGCGATGCATCCAACCTCTTTGACTTTTTTAGTTGTACTTTTTTCGAGTGTTTGTATGTCCTTGGTTAGGAAGATGTTGTAAATCACAATATTCTTTTTTTTTGTTTAAATGCAGCAACTGTAAGGCTGATAAAAGCATGTTCTACGTTGTTTTCATCAGGCAACAGCAGCTTGTTTTCTCAGTCTTGTAAATCTTGTCATCTCTGGTTTTTGAGGAAAAGCTGGGTTCTGATCCCTCCCAAAGCGACCGTTAGAACGAGGTTGGGATGTATTCTAGTAGTCACAATCTGCACAGATCATCAGTCCATCCATAACTCTGGACAGGAGTACAGCCAAACGACACGCAGAACAGCCTGTGCCTTGTTAGCATGTGTGTTTATACCACACATGTTCAGCCAGGATTTCACTGGTTAACACTGCTAATCACCACACCACATGCTGTTGTATGTTTTTAATACTTATTTTAGCAGAAACATGATGTGCAAACCAATGAGAGTTATAAATACTTTGTGCAGAAATAAGCATGTGTTATGGAACAGTCTTGTAAGACATGTTACAGGGTAGTAGGCCAGAACAGATAAACATCATTTTATATTTCTTTTAGCAGGGTTTATATGATACATGCTGAGAATCAGAATCAAAAATACTATATCAATATGCATAGAAAAAGGATTATGACAAATCAGACATCTCATTAGCAGCTAAAAGTTTGAAGGATAGAAGGATTGTCCCAATCCATTAGTGTAAAGGTGTTCCATCCAAGATTGACGATATTTTGTTTCACTATGTTCCTCTTTACTAGCTGCTACTAGCATGTCAAATTGTGCTGACACATAGTTTCATTTTGCCTCCTTATTAAGAATGAGCATTTTAAAATGCTGCATCTAAAGCAAACTCCATTTGTCTAAAGTATGCTATAAAGGTTTCTGATTATTGATTATATTACAAGAAACATTCTTTGTATTTATACTTCAGCAATGTGCAGGCACACAAACCAGTTGAATAATGAACAACCAGGTGGATGATGCCACCTAGTGGCAGAATATGACCAGGAAAAGTGGAACAACCATCACTGCATGTCGTGGTTCATATACCGGGTAATTTGTGATCAGCCCAGAAAACCCTTTCCCATTACATCCAGCACTCTAAAAGCATAGAACAATAGTTATTGTTAGCATCAGACAATAGTTAGCAATCAACAATTTTACTGTCTCTGAGTGCCTCTCCTCCTTGCTCTGAGCAGTGTTGGCTGATTGATGAGCCTCCTGTCCAGAGCCCGCCGCTGCGCTCCAAGTGGAGACCTCAGACCAAAGCCGGGAGGAGTCCTGGACACTGACCAATGAGGCGCGGTGAATCTACCTTCTTTAATATCATCCACAAAAGCCTCCACTCCATCAAACTTTGAGGTGAGCTTCCCCAGCTCGTCTTTCAGCGAGTTAAACTGCAGGTAGAGGTCTCCCAGAGCCTCGGAGAGAGGCTGGATCCTAGGCACACGGAGACATGGATTAATGAAAATGATCTCACTGTTTCAATAAGCGGCCCAAGACTGTTGGCTTTATTACACTTTTAAACTATATCAGGGAATGAGAAGAACACAGCCAAGACAAAAATGGCAACAGTGTGTAAGCCATAACATGCTGCTGAGCAGAAACAGCCACACAATCAGCAAGAACACATGGAATCACAAGAACAAACGTCTCTTTAGATTTTAAAAAAAAGTTGAGCAACAAATAGCTGTTTGCTCTGTTGTGTCATAAGCCCTGTCTCTGGAGGAATGACTTGGAGAGTTTCAGGAACTCTAGACATAGCAGACCACGTTGCTGAAACATTTCTCTCTCTTCCATCTGGCACACTCCCTGCATTGAGGTCATTTAATGAGCAGAAACATGTTGCATAATATTCTAATGTTGCAAGAGGACGAGGGGTTTGTCGAGAGTGTTTTAATGGATGACTCAGAGTGTAAAGTTTATCTGTCAGAGCTCGTTCCCGCTGCCTTGGTTCGGCGCGACTCACCTGGTGTATTCAGGGAGAACAGAGGCATGGTCATGGATCAGCAGCTCTTTCACTTGGGTTACTATAGCAAATTTCCAGTTGTCCAGCACTTGAGTCAGGTTGGAGCAAGCCTTTCTGCTGGTGTGTTCTGGTGAACACAGAAATGTGTGTAAGCGTGTTTGACCCAATGCATTTAGTAATTGTTTACGAGAACAAGAGGTCATTCCCTGCCTTTTGGATCCCAAGGGGAGGTTTCATGTTTCCATTTCTGAGTTGCAGATGTTGACAGCATGCAGAACAGAACCAGAACCTTCAACGCCATCGTTTTAACTTAAAGAGAGAAAAATAAAGTTAAACTTATAAAAGAAAAACACTTTTTTTTTTTTTTTTTTTTTACAATTTTCTATATAAACCTCTTAAGTTTAAACAAATTAAAAACATTAACTTCATTATTACAGAGTTAGGTATAAGTGTTAAACTGTCATATATTTCAACTTTGATTAGCTTTACAGTAGATGAAAATGACATGTATCTTTTGCGGTTTACCTTTGTGTGAGGCGCTTTCCAAAGGCCAGAGTAAAATCCTTCAGGAATCACACAGATGAAAAATGAACTCTCTTCTTACTGCCTCTCCAACCTCTCTGAGCTTTTCCTCCACCTGCTCCTCCCGACGTCAGTGATGAAGGGTGGTGACAGAGTCTGATATTTCAGCATGTGCTCACAGGGCTGGGTTCATATGCACCGAGCGAAAAACAGAGAAATCCCTTCCACTTTAGATTCCTCACAAGTTCTTGAATTCTGTGCATCTCTTACACTGCTAATTGACCTACACATAATTATTATTATTTTTTTTTTTTTTTGTTGTTGGAATCTTGTGACTTTTCCCCCCCATATCAACCTGCAACAGCGCTCCCTGTGGGCTCTGATCCTGAGGAGGTGTTAGATGGAGCATTGTGGCTCCAAACTAACATTCTTACTGCCTACTGTAATACAATCTGTTAACCATCTGGGCTGACAGGCACAGTCAGCATCAGGCTTTTGCAGCCGCCACGGATGATAGAAACCTGCTGACTCAAGAGCACTCATTAGAACGAAGTGAATGAAAACTTTAAATTGGTTACATCAAACGGTCGGTTTTACGTTTCTATTCATCTGTGAGTTAGAATTAAAGACAAAAACACACAACTTCCGAGAAACTCTCTCATCCGTAAACTGTTTCCACCCCTTATCGAAATGAGCTGCTGAGTGATTTATTCCACCAAATTCCCTCAGTTTGACATTTATCCATCCTTTATAATTCACGATTATTCATGTGGTGATAATCTAACTTCTGATGGAGGATGAGGCAACTTGTTCTCTACAGTCCAAATGCTCCAAGGCATTCCAACATCTGGGTAGGTGAGATAGGATGGTTATTTCAGAGACAAGAAGATATAAATCACTGTAAATAGAAAATATAAATCTTTTGTTTGTTCTTGTCCAGAAATGATCATTCTTTAGTACATTTGGGGGATTCTGCTAATATCTGCAGCCAACTGGATGAGAGCATTTCTGCTAACTGGGTAGTAGTCCCAAACATCTGGACCGTCTTTGAACTCAGAGACATTACAGTTGTTGCAGCTTAGTGTAAGGAGAATTTAAGACATAAGTCTTTAGAACAGTTCATGGTTGGATTTAACAAAAGTTTATGTGTTTGTTCGAATATCTTTAAAAAGAACTCTAGCATCTATTACTGCAGACAAGATCTTAAACCACGATTGAAATCTACCCTCTCAAATGCTTTACGCAATATGTCCTTCCATTTTTTGCTGGATTTCCATCTTTGGTGCTGACAGCAATGCAAGAGACGGGACAGAACGACTTACATGTTGTTTAAATCAATCCAAATAGAAAGATGTTACCTGTTTTGAATTAATCTATCTCCAAGAAACCCATACTGGAGAATTAGAAAGGATCTCAGAAACAATAACTCACTCTTTTTTTTTCTTTCACCTCAGTTTTCTTCTTTTTTTCCTGCTCCCACTTATCTTCTCATTTATGTAGTTTTATAAGTTTTAATGTAAAATTTTCTAAATACTTCTATATTTGATGTACTTTTGGGTCCAAGGGTTTCAATAAAGACATTGTTAGAATGTTAGAATCCAATGTTAATGTTTTATCTAAGCCACATTGTGAATGTACTTGACCAAGACTTGTGATGACAACCCTTTACATCACACACTCTGCTCTTGAGACTGTTCGAAAACTATATGCAGAGATTTGTGAAACACACTACTCCAACTTATGAATGCAAAGAGCGCAGAGAGAGAAGAGAAGGGAGAGAAACTGACCAGACAACCCACAGAATCAAGAAGTCGGGGCAAGATCAACTAAACTGAACATCAAAATCAGCGGTATTGTTCTTCTGGTCCTTGCAACGATTCTCCAGAGCGGTTGCACCACAGGTGGCTGACTTAGAATTTATTTATCCAGTTTGCTTTATAAACTTTCCCTGAGGTTAAGACAAGTATATAGAAAATCCCAATGCAGTGTGGGGAAAAAAAAAAGAAAAACATTGACTAACTATCAGACTCCAAAACCTTTTGAGAAAGATAAATATTTAGCAGCAATTTGAATCACTCATCTTCTCCAAGTCAAGTATATTTCATGTTTGCTTATAGGTCTTGATTCTTAACTTAATACATGATTGAAATATATTTCATTTAACACATATTACTGAAAATATACTACTGAAAATGTAACTGTGAAGCTGTAAATATTCCAATGTAATTATTCTCCAAAATATTTAGTTTTACAGTTAGTTTTTACTATTGCATAGAAATATGTTTCCAGATGTACTGAGGAACTGAGAGGCAGCCAGGCGTCTGCCTGAAGTAACACACTGATTGGCTTCCAGCTCCTTGCAGCTCAGTCCAGTAAGCAGGGGAAAGAATGAGTCCAGTGGAGCAACAGATCCACAGAGGAAAATAGTCAGGCCTCATACTTTCTGTTTTTCAGCTCAGTCACATCAGCTTTATCAGATGCTACTTGTCTCTTGGAAGCACATGACCGCAAGACACTTTTTTGGAGGACTTGTGGAGGACGGTTACAGCTGGGATTGATCAGCTTCCAAATTCAGAGAAAAGCTAAATGTTGATTGTAGCAAAGATTAAAAACAATATTTTTATGAGGGGTTTTTTCTGCTCCCAAAGAAATGTACATTTATTAAGTGCATTTTTTTTTTTTTTATAAAATATCACCCCAAACTACACATGAATGTTTTTCCCTCAAAGCTGATGAGGGAAATCCTGGGGCAGTTTGTCAGTCTAATATATTTATATGCTTTATTTTACTATCATCTTTATGTTTTCTTGTGACCTCGGTTCTTTCTATACTCTCACTTGTCTAATAAAACAATATGACTTGACTGGGAAATCAATATAAATAATGTATCCTAGTTAAAAAAAAAATCTGTTGTATTTTTGCTTTATTTTTTACCTTTATTGATAGATTGTGAATATTTTTTTTCAGTCAAGCACAGCTCTGGAAACAGTCACAGTCATGTATTTAATGCGACGTTTATAAAACCTCACATTAATAATACAATCTCATTTAAAACTTTTTTTAATGCAGTTACTGGTTGACTAGTTGACTTTGGTGTGCTTATACTCTTTGATGACATCCAGTGGTCACAGTGAGGTACTGCAAAGGTGTGTCTGGACTGGAGTTTTATTCAGACAGCATCATTTTAATGGTTCCTTTCATGCACTAATGAAAGTGTATAAAATCAGAAATAACGAAGCAGACATAAACATAGGATGCAAAATGAAAAAAATAATATTTTGTGAAAATGCTGCCATCTTTTTTTTTCACTAAAAACCACAGTTTCAATAGACATAAACATTAATATTTTATCCATCTATAACGCAGTGAAAGAAATTATTATTTATGTAGCTTTCTCTCTTTTTCTGAGTTTTATAGACTTTGGTAAATTTGGATGCCTTTCTCTGATTTCGGCTCCAATCTACACTTGGGTGAAAGAACATTTGCCTTGACCTTTGACATGAGCTACTTTTTTAACTCAAATCCTGTATGTTCTACAAAAAAAAAGATATTTTCAAATTCTACTCTTTCTGAGAAAGCTCATTGAAATTTGCTGCATTACAGACATATTTTCCATTGTTTTATGTATTTTTTTTCATGATGCAAAATAACAAAATCTGATAAACAATCTGAGATTCATAACTTAAATTTGTTCGAAACCAAGAACTACTCCAAAAGATTATACTTTAAATCAATTTTAAAGTGTTAACATTATTTCTATTTCACTTGGATGAATAAAACAACTTTTGCCCATGTTGTTTTTCATCCCCAACAAAGGAAAAACAGAGGAGTATTCGAGTAGCTGAGGTGGTTGAGTAAATGAGGAGAATTATATTTATTCATAAAATAATTTACTGAATATCTACAGTGAGATATTCTGCATAAATAAGTTTGAGAGGAAATAATTTCAGAATTATTAGTGTTTATAAAATTCTTATTTCTTGATTTATTAAAAAAATGACAAAGTTTTGAGGTGAAGGTTACAAAGTCTTGTAATCAAATCAACATAGAGACAATAATTCTTAGGGTCAGTGAGGCGGCAAACAATATTCAGGCATGTGTGGTCGTTGTCTGGAAACATACGTTCAAATATGTATGATAATGTTATACATAGCATAAAAACATGACTAAAACTTGTTTTTTTTTATGATTACATTTCATTCCTGGTATATTGTATTGTTGGAGAGACTAGATACTTATTGTCTCTGACCTTTCAATGTTTCAGTTCGAGTCAGTTTTTTTTTAGAATTTTTTTTAGAAATAGCCTGATATGAAAAGCTCCTTGTTTTGGGGGTCTGATAGCTCACTAATCCCCTCATTGTGACTCTCACATGATGAAAAAAATGTCAGGCCTCACAGCACTTTGAGGCTGAACACAGCAGGGTCTCTCAGTATCAGCGCTCTGTTTTTTTTCCGCTGCAGCAAATATTCTCATGTTTCATTTCAACTTGAGCTACTCTGAGGAGCTAAAACCACAGGATCGGTTGTCTCCAACTGGATGACAATATGCGACGATATTTACCCGTAAAGAAGCTTGAGTGGCTCTGGTCCAGGAGAGACGATGGGCAGAATGAGTCCAGCCCACTTATTCCAAAGGTAGGCCTTTCAATAATTTATCGTTTTTTTTAAGAATGTTGTGCTTTTCTACATGTTAGTCTCAGCCCACTATTTAAAAACTTTATTTCTATGTCTGAAGTCAGGTGCTGCAAAAGTGGAGGATGAGGAGCTCGGCCATGTTGACAGTGAATATCAAACAGGGACGCCCAGCGATCGGGATCGCAACAGTCCTACAAGAATCCGACCTCATTACAGTTATTCTTTGATGGATTATTTCCTAAAATACTTCCTGTTCCTGTGCAACCTGCTCTTCACAGTCTTGGGTCTGGTGGTTCTTGGTTTGGGGATCTGGGGCCTCACCAGCAAAGAATCGTTTGCCCAGGAGAAGATCGGAGCTATCGGCACGGATCCAATGCTGATACTTTTGACCCTGGGCTTTCTGCTCACTCTGCTCTGTCTGACGGGGTGTGTTGGTGCTTTAAGAGAGAACAGCTGCTTGCTGAAGATGTTCTCTGTTATAGTGCTGGTGCTCATCACGTTCGAGGTGCTGTTTGTAATCGTGGCCTACACTGTGCAGGATCAGATCGAAGGATATCTGCGGTCAGGGATGCTAGCCGCCATGGCGGGCTATCAAGACGATCTGGACCTGAGGTTCATCACAGATGAGATCCAGTTGGGTCTGCAGTGCTGCGGGGTCGACACCTACCGGGACTGGGAGGTGAACATGTGAGTGGAGTATGACCTATGTTTATTTGTTATTTCAGTAAATTCTCAGTTGACCATTAATTTTAAAACTTTTCTTTTCTCTTTTTTTTTTTCTTTCAGATATTACAACTGCTCAGCTCCGGGAGTTTTGGCGTGTGGCGTCCCTGCAACGTGCTGCGTGGACCCTTTGGAGAACGGGACGATGTGGAACTCACAGTGCGGCGTGGGAGCACAGCTCCTGGACGAGTTTACGGCTCAGAGTGTGATCTTTCTGGGGGGTTGTCTGGGCGGAATCTCTCGTTGGATCGAGCAGCATGAGGGCCTGATCGGGACAGTCGGGGTCGTCGTCGTTGGGGTTCAGATTCTTGCCGTGCTCGTCGCAACAAGACTGTTGGAAAACATTCACAGGCATAAAGTTCACGCATGACGTAAATATGGCATGAAGTCATCAGAGTCCTGGCTGTTTCTTTTTTCAGTTCTGGGCTCCATAGTTAGACACGTTTTATATTCAGATTGCATAAACAGGGTTTATAAGTTGGAAACGAAATAGAAACACATCTAATGTACTGTAAATACGTTCCTCTTCCTACATAAAAGGATGGTGAGTTACCGTGAGCAGTCACTAAAAATTAGTGATTATTTGTTATGGAAAGATTTTTCACTTTTTTTCTTCTGACTCTTCATCCATACGGCAAAGTCATTAACCTTCATCAACCTTTGGCGCATGATCAGTTTTTTATTATTTTTATGTATTTATTGTTTCACAAAATATAAACTCTGTCAGGAAGCAGTATGAATGGTATTTTACAGCCAAAAAATACACTATAGCTTATACTGAGGTCTGTGATGGTGGGATCTGGGCTTTATGTTAACTATTAGAGTTGTGAAGTTATGCTTAATGGCACAAGTTGTTTAAATAAATCCTGAGATACTAAATTATTAAATTATAAACTGATAATTAAATAGTAGTTATTGGATTTCATGTTTTGTAATAAAAAAAAATATTGTTTAATGATAAATCCTGCTGTTTGGTAATGATAACAAAGCAAACTCTCTGAATCATGTTAAAAAGTCAAAGCTTTATTTTGAGTATAAAAACACAGTGCTGACCGAATCTCCTGCTGGCCAGTAACTAAGCTATCAGCTGCGTCTCCGTCTGCAGCCACAGGCAATGACACAAGAACAGCAGTGGTGTTGTAGAGCGTGAAAATGGCAGCTTGAGAGTCTCAGGAAATACATTTGTCATACAAAAAAAACAGCATACACAATATGCAGACGTGTGTATTACATAAAATCCTAACGTATTTCTAGCTTTATGTTTGCCATACAGAAGTTATCCATATTCATGAATGCTTAAAATAATCTCTGGATATCATTTTGAATTAAATCCTC